GGGTTAAGTTGATGTTCTTTTAAAGGATGTCGGTGAGGAGAGGGAAAAGTGTTGATTTTCTGGTATTCTTATTTGAGAAAAGAAATCTCTTTCATCAGCAGAAATGAAAAGAAAAGATTACAAATTGTCTTTACTATTCTACATTCTAACTATATATACAGTTTAATTAATACTTGAAAAGCTATAACTAATAACTAACATAACTGAATTAGTTACAGTTGATCAAGATATCACGTGTGTAAACTTTGGGAGCTTTGAGTTACTGCACTATCATTTTCATTAGTGTGTGATACTAGCATTTGTTACTGAAGTTGAGAATGTGTTCCTTTTTTAAAATCTTCCTCTTCATAGTTTTATTTTTTGGTTCAGTGGATGTCCTTTTAAAGGATGAGGAGAGAGAAAAAGAGCAATTTTTCATATTATAATTATTTCTTACCGGTAGACAATCTTAAACACTAATAGGACAAAGCTTGTGTCTTTGACAAGCACAAACTTTTCTCCCTTTATTTTTTTATTGTACACTTTAATCTTTCAGTATAATGAAATGTAAGATAAAAAACATGTCCTCATTATTTTTCTTAAGAGTTCATATAAAAACATGTGGTATTAGTTTTTTTTAGAAAATTTTATTTCATTATCAACTCTTAGTCATCTCTTGCCAGATTCATAAGTGGGTGTTTGATCATTTCAAATTATGAGTAGATTCAAACAAGATAGTTTTCTAACCTTGAAGGAGAAGAAGAGAGGACCATAAAGATAAAAGGAGGAAAAAAAAGAACCAAATGAGAATAAACTCAGTATAAGTTTGGTTGGAGTGAAAAATAGAACAGGGGAAATTGAGAAGGTTAAAAAAAATTGTATTTAGGCTTTATTTGTCTAAATACTTCGTCATTTAATATTAATCCAACCAATCATATTCTCAATTACGTAATATGATTGGATTTAGGGAATTAGAATTAGGCACATGCTGCAAATACTTATGTAAGTCTAAAGATTTGCAAACATACACCAAGTAGAGGTGTTAAAAGAGTTAGGTGTATTTGGTCCGGTTCGTTTAGGCATGGCATGGTCTATGTGTTTTGATTATTGGATCCAGACTTAGACTTGTATAAAACTTTACTTAATAAAAAAGCCTCAAGACTCATATTCAAAAGCTCGGCCTTAAAGCCCGTCAAACTGACTTAATAACTTTTTTTTATACTAACTTAATTTTCGCTCCCATCATCATGCCCCGCTAGAGATGTCAAAATGAGCTGAAGCCCTCAAGCCAACCCGTAAAGCACTATATTTGCCTCTAACCCATTAGGGCCTTTTTTTAGTAGGGCTCTTTTTACCCCTAACCCTCAAAGTCATATGATTTAGCGGGCTGGATTAGGGCTAACCCACGAGTCAAATAAAAGGAAGAATAAGATAAGAACAAGTATGAAATATTATTATATTCTGAATTTACCAAGTACCACTTTTTCCATTTAAGATATGTCCTTATATAGGACTCTAAATATAATTAGGGGAATAATTATAATTCAACACACCATTTGTGTGATGGTTGTAGAATATATCAAAAGTCATGACAAACAAAGAGTCACATGTTATGAACCATATAAAAGGCCATTCACAATATTTTACAACATTCCCCTTGGATGTATTCTACAATTCAACACACCATTAGTATGATGATTATAGAATACATCAAAGGTCATGAAAAATAAAAAGTCACATGTTATGAACCATCTGAAAGGTCATCCATAATATTTTACAACACTCACCCTTGGATGTATTCTACGATTCAACACACCATTAGTGTGATGGTTATAGAATACATCAAAGATCATGAAAAGCAGAGAGTCACGTGTTATGAACCATGTGAAAGGTCATCCATAATTCATGTGAAAGGTCATGCATAATATTTTACAATATCCCCTTGGATGTATTCTACAATTCAACACACCATTAATGTGAAGCTTATAGAATACATGAAAATTTATTAATAACAAAGAGTCATATGTTATGAACCATGTGAAAGTTCATCCATAATATTTTACAACAAAAATGAATTTTTCAGCAGTGAAATGTTTCAATAGAGATTTTCATCTGCGCATTACTAAAAATAAAATTTTCTATTGACATCTAAACATGTTATATATCTAAATTTGTATTGAAACATATTGTATAAAATGCACCTTAGTAATTTTGTGGATAATACTACATTAAAAAGTTTTTTGTAACAGTAGTAGTTGAAGAAAATCAATGGTTTTACTTTCAAATATATAGCATACTAAGAGCAATTATTCAATACTGATATTAAGATCATTTTTCCATCATTACTTATAGTTTTCCACTACAGTTGTTGTATTCTGTTATGACTCCCAGTGAGAAAATCTTTATTTGATAGCATCATTTAATAATGAATTTAGTAATAGTAATAACTAAATTTTCACTTATATTAAAATTTAGTTTACATTTCACTTGTATATTTGTGTACAAATATTATTTTATTAATAAAATTAAATTATAAAAAATTTATAATTTGTATATAATATGTTAAGAAAGTGTTCAATATTTATTTGTTAAAATATTTTTTAATGTATTGAATATGATAAAAAAAATTATGAAATTATAATTTTGGATGGCCCGCGGATTGGCCCTAACCCATAGAGCTTTTTGCCGGTGCAGGCCTTTATTATTGAGGTTCATTTGGCCATGTGAGCTTTTTGACCCTAACCCAAACGGGCTAGGGCCTAATGGGACGGGCTGACCCATTTTGACAGCTCTACGTCCAGCCTACTCAAGCCATCAAGCAACCGTTCTCCGTCATTTTAACTTAATTTTTAATGATTTTGTTCAATATTATGCTATTTGAATAAATATTGAATTTATGAATCTTTGTGGAATTATTAGTGTTGTTGATCGTATATTCTATTTGAATTTTTGTTATCTTATTTTTTTTAACAGGCTAAGTCAGGCTTTTATTTTTTGTAAATAAGCGAAGCCACGTGCCGATAATTATATTCATAACAGTTTACAGGCAAGGTCAGTCTGACATATTTAAACACAGACTTATCCTTTTAAGACCAAAGTCCGACCCGACTCGGCCCATTAACACCCCTACCAGCAAGTTGTGTTAGAGAGTAATATAAAGCATTAAAAAAGGTATCACCCAAGGTCTTAAGGTTTTGGGTTGGAGTGGTTCTTTACATGGTATGGTAAAGAGTTTCAGTGACCATAAGGTCACGAATTCAATACTCATTGCCCCCTACTTTCAAGTGGAATTAAATAAGCACAAGGTAAAACCAAAAAAATTTGGGCCTATGCAATATCCACGCTTTAAGCCCAAAGGGCTCTTGCGAGAGGGAGTGTGTTAGAGAATAACATATAAACCATTAAAAAAGATCATCACCCAACGCTTTAAGATTTTGGGTTGTTTACAAGTTGAGTTCTCTCTAATAATATAAATCTTATGTAACAGCTATAAAGGAGTATAATAAAAAGTTTCAACAAACTAAACTCCTAAAAGGGATATATTTAAATGTCCTCGTTTGAGATAGACAGCAGAAAGCATCTGAAAAAAAAATTACTCAAATGGATCCTGTCCTCAATCAGTACAATAATACACCGAGGTTTCCCTCCATATGTTTATCCACCACATTTTATTAAAACAGCAATTTCTACTGACTCAAACACCAGGGGACTTGAACTAGCACATACATCTCAGTCTAACACCAAGTTTTGAGTGACTTGAAATACAAAATCATACAGTTCAATCTAATGAACAAGTTTTATATACTGTATCATATCAAATAGTAGAGCCATGAAATTCATTACACCAATTGTTATGACAGACAAGGGGAGCTCAAACAGGGAAAGATATCATCAATGGGCTAAGTCAAAAACTCACTCTAATAATTTGGCTCAACACCTCGTCTTAACCCAAAATTTTAAGGTGTTTAATTGTCCTTACTTTGGAAATTCCTAACCAATGTGGAATATCATTACTCATCACTCACATTTAAATTTACAACACTTATTTAACTTTAAAAACTTGAATTATAGAAGCACTACATTTAAGATTCTGTGTTAGCTAAAAGAAAGTGTCTTTCCTAAGAGAATTAAACATATAGACCGCCTGTTATTACTCTAGGTTATCAATTTCTACAGGTTCTCAACCAGCCGGGGATAATGGTATCGTTCAGTCAAAATACCCAGTTTTGATGTAAATCACCCTAATAGTCATTTGAGACAGGGTCCAGCCTAAGTGGATAATAAAAAAATGGAAGCTTTAACAACTTTAGTGTTAGTTTTAGATACTGATAAACAACATCACATGTGTGATTCATCCAACCATACAGTTTCAACAGGTTGAAATTAATTCACATTCAAAAGGCATGCACTTGCTTTAGTTAGATAATGAAAGAAGGGGAAATGGGAACATGATATTGCACTTGAGCTCAAGAATGAAGGGGAAAATCTCTGCCTTTATTATTTTTTTCCCCAATAATAAGAATCATCATCATAAACTATATAGGCTCCTCCATTCCCCAGTGATACCAAGTAATCATTAAGTTTCCAGAATGATTGCCAAATAAGGAACCAATGAAAATGATAAGTATTTCTGCTACCAATTTCATATCAAATAACAAAAGCATAACCTATATTCATTAGAAATGTGGACGCTAATGTAGACACAACACACTGTTATCCTGAATTGAGCACGCAACATTTCATAAAATCAAATAGTGAGAGCAAACCAAGCACTAGCAGTCTCAACTTGGGATAATGATAACAGTTAGGATATCACTAACTTTATCTAAACGAAGCACTTTTTCTGAAAACCATAAATGACCCAGCTGGGGGCCACCAATTAGATGGTGAGATTTTTAAACCAGAATGAGTTATTTGCAGCCACCCTTTTCTAAATATAATTTTCTATGTATAATTGTTATGCATAATCAAAAAAATATAAACTTGTAAAGAGATAGGAGATGATGGTGTCAAGCACTTACACTCATCATGGAATGAACCCACTGATGACGAGACTCGGCATTTAGGCCAATAACAGTTCGAAGAGGGTTGCGGAGTATAGTGTAGAGAAGCCAGACATGGTATATCAGGAACACCAACAGTCCCAATGCCACCAACACATAATCCATGTGCTCCTTCTGAATTTCCCCCATGGCACCAATACTTAGCTATCTATGCCTATGTTTGCTACAATGAATTTGGAAAGTGAAAAAGCTATGTGTTCCTGAGCCAAATTCAAGTACATGATGATCATTCCATCAAACTCATTTTACCAAACATAAGGGTGAAGTGAAAGGTGACTGTCAAACACCGGTTTCTAAAAACGCATCATTGGTTTCCGAGTTACTAATGGATATGAATCTAATAATTCAGATGTGACAGAAAGTTTGAAATAAGGACACATGATGACGATGATGATGATAAGATTGCCACTTGTTGATAAGTTGATTGTGGCATCTACCCATTTTTTTATTAAGTTGACAGTGGAACAGTGATCAAAATGTTACTCTTCATCAACTTTTTTAGCTAAATGTCCCGCGAACAGTCTTATTTCTCAATCTGTCACGGGAGCGAGTTCGCTGTTCGCTAACTCGGTTTGCTGACAGCGAACTTGGTTTTAACCAAGTTCGCTCTCCTACGTAGCGACCTTCAAATCTTTTTTTTTTTTTAATTTGGTACTTGTTATCCACTAGAAATGTGACACATCAGCGAACAGAGTTCACTACACCGGGTAGCGAACTTGCCCCTGTGAGAAATAAGACTGTTCGCGTGGCATTTAAGTAAAAAAGTTAGTGAACAGTGACAGTTTGATCACTTTTCCGTTGATAGTGGGAGGAGAAAAAATAAAAAAACCTTAGTTGATTGGACTGTGTTGACCTATGTTGCAAGACACCAACACATAATATGGGATACGACATGACATGACACTTCGATATGTTAATTTTAAAAAATATTAAATTTTGACACGTTATGACACATTTTAATATTATATAATATTTTTAATTTATTAGTATATATTATATTTAATATTCAATAATTTAACAAAAAAATAAAGCTAAATTTATAATACTTATCAATTTTGTAAAAAAATATAAAATATCCCAAATATTTATATTAAATTCAATAAAATAGTAATCGTAATCAAATAAATCTAATAGTTGAAACTCAAAATACAACACAACGTAATCTTTGAACCTTTTTTAACTCTTTTCATTAAGTATTGAAATGTCGAAAAATATCGAAGTGTCAGATAACATCAAACATGATACGTCAAAATTTTTAAAATATCGATACTGCATCAACGTGCACTTGATCAGTGACCAAATATGCCTTATCACCCCACGTTATCTGATGGGTACCCTTATCGGCTCAACACTTGCTCAGTTTGCTTTAGCTGGCTGGTTAAACATTTTTTCCTTTTTTAACACAATGATTGCGTGATAACTTTAAAATATGATATTTTATAAATTATTTAATTCCTCATTACTAATTAACTTTTAATAGCTTTCAAGGGGCACTCCTATACAAGCTCTTCCACGTATCCTCAAGCATTTGACTATGTAAATAATTGGGTAACTGAAACATCATGCTATGCTATTTGTCACTGCTTGTCTTCACATCCCTTCAAATTCAAATAATGAACAATGCTACACTCACAGTCACAGATGCTCACTATGGCCACACTGTTGTTATTATATTACGAGCAAACCAAGATACTATAGTCTTTCTTCATTTTTCCCATGTGAATGAAATGGTTCTGTCTTTATCCCTTCTTCTTTGGCCGCGCTTTCTTGTCTCTCATATTTGTTTTTTCTTATTATACAGCTGCACTGCACTGCACACCTAGGCATTTCCAACCATTTCACACCTAGGACGATTCCGACGTATTTCTTATTTTAAACTCAATAATGCAAATCTTCGATAATAGCATTTTAAGGTTTACTAGTTACAAACCTTTATATATATATATATATATATATATATATATATATATATATAAAACTGCATATTAGGGAGTGTTCGGTTTGCTACGAAATTCAAAATTAAATTTAAGGTATATATTTATCTCATATTGCATAATATAATTATCTTATGTAACATAGACATATGTAACAGAGACATGACAAGATAGTGAGATCCACTATTTAAAAATAATAATAATGAATCTCATTATTTTATCTCTGTTGCATGAGATAATTATCTGATGCAACATAAGATAAATACATCTCTTAATAGAAAAAATATTTCTGCAATTACTACATATAAGTTAAAACGACGTTGTTTTGGAATTAAAATTTTAAAAAATTATAAATATAAAGACTATTATAACCTTGAAATAAAATAAAATTACAAAAACATAAAAGAGACAAGATAATGAGATCCACTATTTTAAAAATAATAATAGTAAACCTCATTATTTTGTCTCTTTTGCATGAGATAATTATCTATGCAACATAAGATAAATACATCCCTTAATTTAAACAAAAATTTACAAAACTTTTCAAAAAACCAAATACGCCACTAGTCTTCCATTTATTAGCAGCATTAAATCAATTCTTAATAATAATGAATGTTATCATTTTCGTCACATCTTTGAAAGACCCCATTCTCGTTCAGTTAGAGGGTGAAAAGGGGTAAGTGGGTTTTTTTTTTGGTATCCCTTTACAATTAAGGGCGAAAATGCATGAATTAGTTTTTCTTGTAAATTTTTACATAAAGCTAAATTGTGCTAAAAGAATCAAAGCATGAGAAGAATGCGTAAACCTGAAATTAAAAAGGACCCCAAACATGTTACGCAGTATAAAATAGACTTATAAGTTATCAAAATCTGATTTTGCCGGTGATAAATATTCAACAGCTTCTCATGCTACAAATAAGAGAAAATTGTTGGCTTTTCTAGCTCGGGGTTTATTTACTATATCAACATTATTACAAAACGAAAGAAAACTAGAAAAGACTTTTCCATCCCAGCTTATCTGCAGCTAAAGCTTTGAAGTGTCTAAGAACTTTTGTCAACAGCTTTCCCTAAGGAGGTGAAATTCAACCTGAATATATATGAAGGAAAATGAATGGTCAACCAACCAAATTCGACACAGCTTAACCATATCAAAAACTCCAAAACAACTCTCAGGTCAATTCCAAGAATATGGAAATCAAACAAATCATAACAAGTACACATTGTTCAACAATTGATTATAGTGTACCTGATAAGGGGCTTCCGCTGTGGCACAAGTGCAGGAGTCCCACTTAACAACGGCGCCGTCAGCTCAGCAGGCTTTCCGAAAAATATAAAGATAAAAAAAAAGAGAGACAATGGAAGGGGGGGGAAAGGATAGAAATAGTCAGAAACGCTTCAACTTGATGCTATTACAAGGTAAAGAAAATGTAATTTTCACATAATGCCATTGCTTAACAGAAAATGGAATTTAATATGGATTCCCCATAAAACAAAAGCAGAGAAACATAATCCAACCTATTATATCAGCTCAGATTATGAAATAATAGAAACAAATGCAAATTCAAAATTCTTATCAAAAAATTCATAAATAAGCCTATCGTTTACTGCACTAACATGTTGCCAATTTCTTATCATTTTTGGACCACACATCATTAGAGAAAATTATATCATCCAAATTCTATCTAAAATATAATTAAAATAACATCAACAGAAAGAAGCAGCCAGACAGAGACTGATATTTGAGCAAATTTAGCAGACAGTTTAGACAATCGCAAGCAATTAGGAAAAGATGGTATCTATGATCTACGATTGTTGCAGAATGATTGAAAGTGTTCCAAATTTTGAATATATTAAGAGGTTAACCTCAAGCTCCTCCAAGCCCCCATTAGAATATAAATGAGTTGAACAAGTGGTTTCCTTCTTAAAAATAACTGGTTCTGCCGCGACTGCAGACTCTGAGTTTGAAGAGTCCAAGTTGCTGTTTTTCATGTTCCCACCAAAATCTTTGACTTGATTTCTATACTCAAGATCATCTTCAAGCTCATCAGGTTCTTCTGAAAAAGCTTGATGTGCATTATATGGACCATGCATAATCTTCTCAATGGCTAGCTTTTCTGCTTCTTTAGAACTAGATGTACCAGTAGCAGTAAGTATAGGGTTGACTTGTGTGCTTCTCAGTGATCCATTGGTCTCTCTATCACTAGAAGGACTCTCCCCTGAAGATTTCAAATCAGGTTTCTCACTCTTTTGTTCAGTCATGCTGTTGACTTCTAAGTCACCGCATTTCATAGAACAAGTATTAGCAGTGCTAATAGGATTTCTATCTTCATGAACTTCACTGCTGGAAGGAGGCAAAGATGCCAAGGACTTGGAACTTCTCAAGCTATCCACGCTATCCTCTGCTTGCTTTCTCTTCCTGTCATCACTTGCTCCTAATACAACCACTTTACCTTCTTGAGACTTTTCTGCTTGACCATGGCCAGAGATCCTTAATTCTGAACTACGCTTACTATCCCAAGTTACTTTAGACGGGCGAGAGGGTCGAACACCACCAGGAAATACAAAGTTAGGTATACTACGGCGTTTCACATGGGAGACATGGATATCCATTCCAGGTTTCCATGAAGTGTAAATGTTGACAGAATGCTTAAATTCTTCAACAGTTATTCTTATATCAAATTGTCCACCTTCATTGACAGGAACTCCTTGCTTACGTTGCAGACCCATGAAATAAGAGCAGTGGAAAGGTCTAGATTTGTCTGAAAAGTCACCAGGATGTGGATGGCACTGAAGCATGCCATAAGTGTGCCTCTCGATCTAGATGTTTAAAGGACTAACAAATTAGGTTATATATAAATAAAGAAGGGGAAAAAAAAATTGCATCCCCCGTTTTCCAGAAAATAAGAAAATAAAAACAAGAGGTGAGAAAGAAAATTAATGAAACAATAAACACTAAAACAGTCTTATACCTTCAATGTCAACTGGCGCAGGCGAGACTCAACCCAGCCTTTCCATTTTCTAAGATCATCAGCATTTTCAGCTGAAATGTCAATCTGCAAATAATTCTTATATGCTTCGAAAAAAGGATAAGGCTCAAAAAGAGTATCCCAATCAGCCTTGTTAGCCTCCATAGCCTACAAACATCAAAATCAGCAATTCAAATATTGCAACAAGAAGAATAAATATAACCATTATTAACAAAAATATAGCTGGAACCTTAAAAATTGAACAACCCTACAAGAAAATGTCGCTTCCCTGATAACGGCATTAAGTCCCATTTCGAAAACTTTAATACAATTAAAAGTATAACATTTTGGTAAAATGATAAAGCCAACTAGTACCTAGAACTACCCAGACTTGCTTTCGTCCAACACACAATAATTTGCTTTTCTTGTATTGAAATTCACCAAATCAGAGGAGAAACTAAAGTAGTGCAAATCACAGAAGCATCTACTATAAAATTATCATATTGTCAAGAGAGGGGCAGAAACTAGTAAACTGTCCCAATTCCATATTTGAACAAGGGAACTTTAACTTGAAGACCCATGCCAAATCATCTTGGGGGCAAAGCACTGCAGTTATCGGGATGAAACAAAAAAAAGGGAACCTCAAACTAAAATTTGTTTCAATATTCAGACTTCACGTGAGGAAGAGCCTTGGAGCAACGGTAAGGTTGCTGATCACAGGTTCGAGTCAGGGAAATAGCCTTTTTGCAAAAATGCAAGGGTAAGACCACGTACAATTAACCTTACGCCTACCCTCACAAATCGCCCTTTTTGCTCAGATTTCATGTAGACTGAATAATAGAGGACAGTCAGATTAGAGATGGAGAGAGAAAAACAAAATACTAAATACCATGACCATAATTAGGAGAAGGAAAAACAAAATTCTCATGTTGAGATATCATGGAGCTGATTGGGTTGAGGACCATCATATTTTAAAGCATATGACCATGGAATTCTATCAAAACTTAATTAAGGAAGAAAACATGGAGCAGGACAGAATTATAAAGCAGTGCACTTTTCCTTCCTGTTGAATCAGGGGATATAAGTAACCTTGATAAGATTATTATACATGGAGAGATATCAAACTCTAGACCAGTTGGTCATAGAGGCTCGAATACCATGTCATGAACCAACTATCCCAAAAGTTTGTTAACTTGCTAAATGGAGCTTCAACCATGGTTATGGACTGAAAATTTGGGACTCGCCTCCAAGGGAGTTATCTCAATTGATTATTACAAATGTTGTGAGGGTTGCTTTGCCCCGTCTTGTTTTTTCTCCCTTTTTGGGCCTCAGTCCTCCATTGTAAACCCCCCACCCCCAAGAAAAAGGGGGCTATGTCCTTGAATTTTCCAAAAAACAAATATTTCTGGAACCAAACATCATACCTGACCTTTTTTATAGAGAGAATCATACCTCACATATTTCATTTCCCCTCTGAAACTCCTCCAACATAATACGCAACGTACTCGATGACACATTGTAGCTAGAATTCATGCAAGGATAAGCAGGAGTAATTATTGGCATCAGATGGAACCTATCCTTGGGATATCTTCTAGGATCCCAAACTTGAAGTCCAAGAGATCCTTCTTCAATAGCACAAAGCATTACTGGATTTGGCCAACGCCACTGAGTATATACCCTAAAGAATCGAGACACTAACATATTAGGCAGTGCATTCGGAAATAGCTGGCATATTCGAGCAACAAGCAATGCCCAGTTTATACCACCAAGAAAACCTGCAACCTGCCCATGACATATCATAAAGAAGCATTAGGTTTAGGTAAATCAGAACATAACAAACAACAGTGAAGAAGTTCAGGCCAAAATAGAAAAAGAACACTGAACAAGTCATCTAGAGCAGGACTTTGCCGTACATTTGAATAAACGCCACGGCACTTTGCCCATAACCTCATGCATCTCAATGTCGTGCGAAAACTCTGCACTTCAGAAACGGAAATACAATCAATGATAGGGAAGTCACAAAAAAGCTACACATTAAATTCTCTATCTGCCAATAAAATTTATATCCACTACCTGAATATTTGGAACCAAACGCAGGATTTGATCGGTCACTCTACAACCATTAAGACTTCGAACTGTTTGCTCATCTGCATTTTGTAATATTGACTCCTGTGATATATCCAAGTCCTGTCCCACAAAAACCCGCATTATTAAGCATAAAAGGTAAAATATAATTTATACTTTAAATTAGATTCAAGCAAAATGAAGACAAAACACATGGGGGGAAGAGAGGTATATTTCACACATCAAGGTTTGTTTTCAGAAGGACTAAATAGAACAACTTCAACCAATCTTGCATAAATCACTTACTTCGGGAATAACCCACAAAGATAATTTTGCATAAAGGAGATCTATAGAAACACCATTGAACTTGAACTTCATCACTGGAACATGAGCATCAGGCACAGGGTGCAACTCTGTTACTTCTGGCATCTCAGATAGCATCTTATGTAGCTCACCAAAGAAATCTTCCTAATGCCAATCCAAAAAACAATTTTCGTTGGTGGAATATATGACCTCAAAAACCTATATTTGCATTAAAGAATGGTAAAATTTATCATACTTCTCTGGATGCATGTCTCGGTCCAACACAAAGAGTGTCTATATCTGCTCCAGGGCCATGCACCTACAAGATTTGAATGAATAAAGGTAAAATAATAGAACCAACAAAAAAAAGAGAGAGAGAATAGATTGCAGTAAAATATATTAGAACTACAACTAATATTATCAGTTTTTGGTCCACAATTTTGAACATTTCATGAGATTTGACAACAGCATGCCATATGACAGTGTTATCCTAATTCTCTCCCTCCGCAATCCTTTCTCCACAAAAGAGTCCAAACTTAAAGTCCAATGCAAAGATAAAAGTATTTATGTATGTGTGAACGCACTTGCAAATGAGAAAGATTTGGAAGATAAAACAGCTACATACCCCTAGCCGATAGGAGCCAAAAGTGAAAATCTTGGCATTTGCTTCATGCACCAGTTGTTCGTTAAGTCCCTTTGCTCGGCTAATGGTTCTGACCCAAATCTTCACAATCTAATCAATATTACAACAGCACATCCAAAATAAATGAATTCATTAGGAGCTCCACTACATTTCCAAGATCGTATGAAATGAAATGCAAGAAATAAAAAATTCACATGCATGAATCACATTATGAATATGTTCAATCAACAAAATAAATTCAACCTGGTCTAGCCTGCCTAGCACTTCCTCCCTACTAACTGCCTCCTGCTGATTCTCATACAAACCGGCATCTTGCAAGTACTGAAAATCCAGAATCCAAATTCAGCATATTATAATAACACTTGGAAAAGCTCAAAAACTAAGAAGATTTCACTATAGGCTACAAAAGCAGAACCTTCTCAAGTTCACAGGTCTTGATCACATCATATTCAGTTGGTCCACCCAATGAGATGGGTTCCGTTATGCCTAAGCGTTGCTGCTGCCCATTATTACGATTGCTCAATCCGGGACTCCCCATCAATAAATTGATACAGTTTTTCCTCTTTCTTTTTTTTTTTTGAATTATTATTACAGAATTTTTTTTTTTTTTTCTTCCAATGAAAGGGGAGCTGTGAGAATTAAAAGTTATTTATGATAATTTACAGTCTTTTCCCGACAAAATCATACAAAACAAGATGAATAACCAAAATAAAAAATAAAAAAAACTATAACAATGTGATGTTAATTGTTGATGGTACAGTAATGGGGGAGAACAATTCAAAGCTATGAACTTTGATCATAAAAAAGTAAAGGTGAACAATTACAAAGGCACCCAGAATAAGTTCCTTAAAAAATAAACATGAGTACAAAGCTACTATGGGGTTCTCAAACCGAAACCCTAAACAACTAAATCAGTGGAAAGTGATGATGAAACCCATAAACAAATTATGGCATGCGATTAGAAGCGGCACGGTGAATTGCAGCGGTTGCAGCAGTTGAGCCATCGCTGATGGTTGCACCCCCAAACAAGAGTATAAATATATGAATAAATAAATGAAGAAAACCCTGTGAAAATAGCGAGGACGGAGTTAGAAGATAAAGAGAGAAAGTGCAGAATGATGTAGCACGGAATCGATGGAAAGAGAGCGAAAACAAAAATGCTTACAGAGAGAGAAAGAGAGGAGAGAGAAAATGGGATTTTGGATAAACAGTTTGGTGCAACGCTCCGGAAGAGTGACGAAGGTGAACCACCAAATAATAATGAAAAAAATAGAATGAATTGCAGATTTTTTTTTTTTTTAAAAGGTGATGTTTATCTCATTTGACATCAGATAAATAATTTTTTTAAACACAATGGGTTTCACCGCTTTTTTTTTTTCCTCCTCTCATCTGTGGTCTCACTTATAATTTTATTTCTACAATATAAGATAATTTTTTTCCCATAACATAAGAAAAGTATTTTTTTTTAGGAGAAAATGTGTGTCATTTTAAAGGATGTAAAGTTGTGTCATTTTAAGAGAGAGAAAGAGATAGATAAAGGAGGAGAGAGAGTTGACAAAAAAAAATAAAGGTATGAGTCTCACCTCTTTATGAGAGTGAAAGGATATAAGTTGTGTCATTTAAAAGATTAACACTTTTCTTTTTTTTAATACAATGAGAAGCAGATTTTTATTTACATACAATGAATGTGATTTTATGATTTTCTTTTCTCTTTAAACTATGTTTTGTTTTGTTTTAATAAGAGGGCTCTTGGATGGAAAACAAAAAAATGAGAATGTGAACATCGAAGTGTAGTTGCTTAACTTCTTGTCATAGTTTAATAAAGATATAAATTGAACTATACTAAGTTGCTAATTTTAACATTGCATGATATTTAAATATTTTATTATGATGGTGAGAAGTTACATAAATGCACCACATAGTAGACCCCTAGTTTTCCATTTTCATTAGGACATGGACAAAAGCAAAGAAGCCTGTCCTAAGATGCAAACTTTTGTTTGAGTTTTCACTTCATGGTGCTTTTTTAATGTGATAAATATTATTGTTAAAATCTCGATTTATTATTATGATTTTACGTTTTTATGTTTTTTTTATCAAAATAATTTTACTAATATTTCAAACACTTTCATGTTTTTATAGTTTTTTATGATTTTTTTATATTATAATTTTACGATTTACGATTTTTTAATCTCATAATCTCGATTTTAATAACATTGGTCATAGACATAATCACCGCCAAGGGAAAGGATTACATAAAGTTGCAATTGAAAGAATAGAAGCGTATCATGAGACATGAGTAATAAATATTGTCTAAATTTCCACTTCATTTTTTTTCGGAGACACATTTCATGTTTTTCATTGTCATAAACATAGCGACTAGGACAAGGACTCCCGCATCATTGGATTCTTGTACATCTACAATATAATCCCTGCATTGAATTCATCATAGCTAACCAACAATATCTTCTTGAATTTGGATGAGGGGCCAAAGAGGAAGGAAATTTTACTTGACAATCAAATAATTAAATAATGGAAAAAAATATTTTTTTCCATTATTTAATTATTTTTCCATATTCAAATAAAAGTGAGTGGATTTTATTGTGAAAAAAAAGAAAATAAATTAGTGAGATTCATTCACGTTTAAGTGAGTATGACAAATAAAATTTTCTCAAAAAATCAGAAATAATATATTTCAAAACAATTTAGGGAGGGGTTTCTATGACAATACTTCAAGATTTTTTTTTTAATTTCGAAAATATAAATGGTTAAATAGCATGTGATAAAATTTATTTATTTATTTTTGGTAACTAAATTAATTTATTTTTATGTTCCGAAAAATAAACCGTTTGCTTAGGAACATAAATTGACATAAATAAGAAATAATTTTTTTTTATTTTGTTGTTTGCTAACACACTATTTATTAAATACAATAGAATATTTTATCAATATCAAGTATATACTATTTATTAATAATACTATATGTTAAATACATTCTCTCTTTGGGTATAGAAATAAATTGGGTCATCAATCATAGTTTTTTGTCCAAAAACAATTAACTAACAAATAATAAATTTTTTTAACGGAATCATTGTTATGCACACCATATATTTTTGTTAATTTCTGGCTTAATAGCAATAATGTTCTTGTGGATTCATGCTCAATTTGTCAAAAATAATAAGTTTTCTCTTCTCGTAATTTTTTGGCTCAATCTCTTGTCATACTTTGTAAGTATTAATTTGAAGGGAAAAACTACTCTTATGCTACATGTGATAAATTTCTTTTCTACACATTCTTTTATAACTATGCCACCTTTTTCCTTTTTTTCTTTTTTTTTTTTTCAGGTGATGGAGTCCACGAGTTTATCTCTATGACATGAGATAACTTATCTTCTTTAACATGATATTAATAGAACCCTAATTTGAAACTACCATAGAAAATGAACTTCTAAGAATAGCTTCTTTCGATAATTTTAAAAAGTCTGATACATTTTGGTGTTTATAGAAAAGAAAAATAACAGTTTTATTTCACCAAAATTAATATGAATCAATCTGTTAACATACATAGCTCGTATTAAGTACCATGTAATTTTTGAAATGTATTGCCTTGAAGATCCAAAAGAACCAGGTTTATTCTCCGTTTAGGGCATTTTTGTATGTTATGTTTATTATCGATCAATGATAATTGTGAGTTTAATTTGGTTTCATCTTAACTCATGGCCAGCAAAATTGATTGACATATTCCCAGCTATAACTTCATACACTAGTGGACTCAAGAAATTTTCTTTATGTTTGCACACTCAGGGTGGGGGTTTGGGGGTGCCACCCCCTTTTTTTTTTATAAAGATCATAATCATGATCCAATTTTTGCTTCCACTTCAAAAGTAAAGTTTTGGTGAATCAACCAAAGATTTAAGAAAATAATTGATAATGATAATTAAAAAATAAATAAACACCACAAAAAGACATTTGTAAAATACAGTATAATTGTAGGGGTTAATCGATCAAAAACCCACATTTGTCGATGTCTATTTGATCCAAAGTTGACCAGTTTTGTTTCATTGAAAAATATGAAAAATCCTGTGTGATTCTCCTCCGGTCCACTCTTTACCTTTTTTCTTTTAATCTTCCTATTTTTTTTTATTTTTTTTGTTGACTTGAATCACATAAAAAAAATTTCCTCCTCAACTTTATGTCTGCAACTGCAGACAATAAAACTAACCTAAGTCCGCGAGTGAGATCAGCACCATACTTTCAAACAAACCAGTTAACCACCATGTGAATGTGTCACTATTAAAAGGAAAATAAACAGCTAGACCAAAAGCTAAAGGAAAACCATCTACAAAACCATGTGTTATTAGAGATCAGCTATTTTTTTATTTTTAAGCATATCATTTTTTTTCTTCTGAATAGATTGCTTTACTTAACGGAACAAAGACTTAATTTCAGGACAATGTAGGATTTCCAAGTGACTTGTATATTATAAAATCTAAGAAAGTGTATCACTTTTCGGAGGAGTTTAAATATCTTCATCCATAACCCGTTCTCCACTTCGAATTATGTTTATAGCTGGCTCAAAGAATTTAAGCTTGTGAAGATAACGGATGAAGCTTGTGGAGACCACTACTGTTACACGGTGAACCGAACAATCTGAATTACATTTGTTAGATCAGTCCTGCAATGGATTGGAGCACCACGCGCTCAACTCAAAAAATTTCCTTCTTTGCAATAGTGTCATATAGAGGTCTATTTGTTAATGCACCATTAAATTAGTTCCAAACAGCAAACAGAGTCCCTAGTTATGATTTGCACCAGTAATCGTCATTCAGCTCCAACATTTTTAATTTGACTAGTACCTCAATAATCACTTCAGCAGACTCTAAGTTGGAGATAACAGGTTATATATTTTCATTATTATGCATCAAAATGGTAAACCTGAAATGAATTCTATCATTTTGCTGTGGCTCCACAGTGCAACACCAAAATTGCAATGTCCAACCTAGTAAATGTCTAACACGTGCACCAAGATTAAGGGCTTGTAAAGTTAATACAAACGGACAAAAAAAAAAACATTCAGAAGATTGATAAAGATACACACATTGGTAACGCCGCGCTTATGGAACTTGGCAGACAGATCACATAATAATGAATGCAAAAGTCAAATTTTGTCGGCTATAATTACACTAAAATTAACTAAAAAATGAAATAACAGCATTCAGGTTGAATATTTTATTTCATATTTTTACATGACATGATAAAATTAATTAAAAAAATTAAAAAGTCATCATGTTCGGGCAGCCAAAAAGTCCAATAAAAAAAAAGTCGTGTTGTTCCAATCCTGCCCAAACGCCTCCACAGCTGCCCCATGAGCTGTATCCCATTTCTTTCCTCAACCAAAAAACACCAATGAATCATAAAGTATTATATAATTATAATTATTTTTTTAATACTCTTTTCCATGTGCTTCTTCTTCTTCCTTCCTTTTGTTCCACTCAACCATATGTGCAAGAATTCTTGAGGGAAATTGGAACATTAATCTTCTTGGGATCCAAATTGATTGAACATTGAATCGTCTTGTAGTATTTGGGCCTCACCAATTTGCCAAGCACGGATGCTCTGGATCGAATCTCAAAGCTCAATTTCAATGGCACTGGCACTGTGGGCATACCCGTTGAACTGCTCAAGCTAGCACCACTTCCATACAATGGGATCTTGTTCCCCATCACTGTCACGCTCACTAATCTTTGACTCTTCCTTGACTGATGAAACTTGTTCATCTGCAACAACCCCCACAATTCAAATTCACCATGTTGAACAAAACATAATTAAAAGAGATGAAAGTGCATAGTTCACCAATAAAAACGTTAAATTTTAGTCTTACATTCCCTGTAGCAATTACGATTTCTGAATAGGATAGATCTAAAGGTGTTGATGTGACATGAACCCCAAAGAATGTGCCAGTGTTGCGATACGTGAATTTCAAGGTTGAATTCAGTGTTATCATGTCAGTGGCCACTCCCGTGGCATCAGAACCAGCTTGAACTCTCAGATGATCAAAACTTATGCTCTGCGAAAATCAAGATGCAAAATTGATGGATACCCATTTGGGAGAACAAATGAAAGACTTGTAAAAAATGAAACTTGGGAGGAAAACAAACCTTGACGAAAATGTTGGGTTTCATGGGCCTACTAGCACCCCAGAGGATGAGAGAGAAGAGAGAGAAGAGAAAGAAGAAGCCAAGAACAAAAGCGAGGAAATAGCATCGACGAGAGAGAGTGTGGTGATTGTGTTCGGATTGGAGAAGACCTTCTTCTTCGATGACATCGATGTCTTTCCATGATGATGTCTTGTTGTTATTGTTGTTGCGGTGGTTGTTGATCTTGCGTGAACCGGAGAACCGGCTTGAGGAAGAGTGAGAATGAGGAGGGGAACCCATAGGGCTGAGAACTGGGGTTGAATGCAACGACGTCGTCGTTTTCTCTCCATCGTGGGATGGACTCTGCACGTAGTACGCTGGCCGCCGAGGGGATCGTGTGGTGGAAGATGCATCAAGGCTTGTTACCTCTGAGTCTGTCTTTGCATGCATTCTACTTCTCTACTTGTTTTGTGATATGAATATGATTATGAATTTATGAAGACGATGTTGTTGTTGAACAGATCTCTCTCTCTCTCTCTCTCTCTCTCTCTCTTTTCTATGTCTTGAGGTCCCAAAGGACTCAAAAGTATATAAAGTATCAAGGCAATAGCATTAGTGATTAAGTGGGGTGATTATTAATGATTCTTTTAATTTGGCTCTTGGTGGGGTGATGAAAAAAAACATTTATACTTTGACTAAGATTAACGCTAAGGAAAAGCAAAGGTAATAAGTTGTACTATGAATTTATTATTATTAAAAATTACGTTAACATCCATACCGGGAGGAAGGTGAAGATGAACAAGTTATCAACTGACAGCTACACTACAGTTGTCACCGAATACAACACGAGTGATGGTGCTGTTGAAGACGGATCGGATACCAATTAAAGGCACATGCACCCTTGGACAGCAAAGGGTCTTTTTTCTTTTTTTTAAATATGTTGGTCTTCTTTTACCCCTAACATTTCTATTTTTATTTTTGGTTTAGAGGGTTCTACTAGCTTAACAATTTTGTTAATTCAAGGGGTAGTATGTCGGTGCCGTGCTGATAGATTGATAGTGATCAGCGATCACCCCTGAAACCATTGACTTTATCAACAGCATCGCACACGTCACATGATTAGTTCACACACCAAAGAAAAGCAAAAAAAAAAAAAAAACTTACTGCTCAATTGTTTTAAGAATCGCGCTAACACAATTATATAAGTTAATTTTGTGTATCTTATGATAAAAAATCTTGTTAAGGTCACTTAAATAATCAACCAAGAAACATTTATTATAAAGCGACTTTGTTTTTATAATGAATTAAACTATATTTATCTTTAGTTTTTTAATAAACAAAGATCTAAATATATTTTCAATTAAATAAAATACAAATATATTATCATTTAGTAATTTAAAAAAAAAAAGTTGCCAAAATAATGTATCATCGCATGGTTGGCAACTTGGCATGCATGCGGCCGACAATGACTGATAATGAAACTTGAAATCAGTCAGCTGCGGAGAAATTGTTTTGTTTTGTTTTATACTACTCACAAAGAAACGGCTTCCACTCCGGTTGTTAACTTCTACAGACACCTAAATAAGGAATCATACTCATTGGTTTGGACTAAATGATTACAGGTAATACATTTTTCTACTATCCTCTTTTACTTCAACTGAACAAAACATATTATGCAGTTGTTTCGCCTTCTCTCCTGAACAGTACCTGTATACAATAAATTATTAGTTATATTCTGCAAAACATCATTCATGCATTTCTAAACATACGTGTAAGACAGAACTTAATTCAGCAAGCACTTCTATCAAAGGGCTATATAATGCAAGTCAGGGTCTATGTAACCTATGAAATCACTTAATATCTGGGTAACAAGCTATAATTCAAAGAAGCCAATTAAACAAAGCTCGAACCTAGAATTGAGGGCTGTTCTGAAATTATGTGTATCATGATGTACCTCGTAACAGCCACATGATAATGGCTTGTAAATGGGACAGCGGACCCTAGCATTACCAATTTCCCACTCCATATTACTTTTACCATTTATAATGGAAATATTACCCTTTCACCAAAAAACTTTGCATGGTACAACTTTCTTAACTCAAAACTGAACTACAATATCTGTGTAACCCCCCTCCCTCCCAAAAAAAAGGAACCAAGATACAATTTTTATTTATGAATATGAATTATTATTTAATTTCCAACAACAATAACAACCAAGCTTTATCCCGCTAGGTAGGGTCAACAGCATAAATGGATAAATTGATGCCATTAGATTTATCAGGCTATCAGCTACTTGGTATAGGTTATATCTTGGAATAATTTGATTCTTCCAACACCCGTTGTATAAATATCCCTAGGAAGCAGCAATGGGCCAACACTGCCCATAGTGATCACAGGGTTGGAGGTCAAGTGACTAATATATGCCTGCGCTATACAGAACACTCGTTCCATCTTCCTACAATGAAATGCATGTGTACGAAGAATGCAAATCATATAATTATTTACCAATTTGGTAGCTTCAATTGACGAGTGCAGCTTTTCTTTCTTCTTTTGATTGCACTCAGCACACCAGCTAGAGAAATCTGTTTTGTACCTTTTCATCTCTCTAAAAGCAGAACTGCGGATTATCAATGAAATGCAACTTTCATCTTTAATTGAATGAGGAGGAACAACAAAAATGACAGAGAACAATATAAATTAATGAACCGATCCAGGGAAAAAATCATGGTGAAAATATATGGGGAAATAACATTCCAAGTCACTGCTACAATTATGCAGTCACAATATGAGACTTCTACTGTTATTCCCACACAAACTGAATTTAGGAAAATTATTTAATACATAAAGAAGGAAAAAGTAGAAAACCAAAAGGAAGAATTATAGTTAGGGAGGAAAATTAGACAATAGGTTTCATTATTTCATGTTTATCCCTCTTGGTTGGTAACTCTTCACATAAATACATAAGTGAGCATAGAATCAAATGCAGATTTATTTTGCGTAAAAAGATGAGATTTAATATTGAGTTACCCCAACTCCCCTCTAGCTTCAGAAATTACAGACCCAAAACTAACTTACACCCCTCCAGCCCCTTTTTATTTCACATCCATGCAGCTATCTATGCACGTGAAAATACAATGACAAGGTGTATTAGACAAATAGGAGTAGTAATGAATACACGCAAAAAATGAAAGCACCTTCTGCACCACAGAAGTAGGTTGACCCGATGACCAGATGTTGTAGCTCTAGCACCATGGCGATGACAACCATGATGAAGTACAGCTCGTCCAGGGACATGGGAATAGTCAAAGATCTCCTGTTTTCAAATAATGGACTCCATCAAAAAAGTGTACCATTAGCAATGAGGAATTGCAAGAAGCAATGGTCCATAAACATCCTTAGCACTGGTAAATAGAATCAGTGGGATTCAATATCTAAGCAAACATACGCTGCTATTGCTATAATGAAAAACAAAAATAAAATGCGGATACACTGATTCTTAGCCCTATTTGCAAAACACACATCAAAACTACAACATAAAGTTGCATGATTTTCTAGTAGTTATTGAAAGGGCCGTGTTTGTTAACCAAACCAAGCCCTGTCAGGCTCAATACAGTCTCCTAAAACTTCTAAATGTGACAATATTTTTCTTATGCATATGTATGTCATAAATATATTTGTACTTACTACATATATTTTAAAATAGTTATAAAATATATCGGTCCCTTTACAATAGTTCCTTCGACAGAAATTATGTTTGGCACGAGCCAACTCTTACTAAGGAGCATAAGGTTTGGAGAGTATATTCCAGGAGGAATAGACAGTTGGAGGTTAGTTGGTTAGCTAGTTAACACAATTGGTTACAACAATAGTTAGTTAAGAGCTAGAGTTTAAATAGTTGAGTTGTACACAATAGTTTGCAGACTAAGACTTTTTCAGTTATAAGGGTGTTACCCTTCTTGTACGGGAGATATTCTCATTGTACACTCTCTCTCTCTCTCTCTCTATAATATAATTCTCCTTCTCCATCTCTCAGATTTCTTTCTTTCCCTACCATCCATTCAGCAATTCTAGTCTATTTTAATACGGGTTCCTCTCAAATTATTAGAAATATGTTACTGACAACTGAAGAGACAAATAAAACCAATCTCAACCTCAAGCTTAGGCAGACTAAAAACTCGAGCTCCTTTCAGTATAAATGAAACTATAAGTCCAGCTCAACCTTCAGAAATGTAGAACTAGGTAAGCTCAAGTTCAGTTCCTAAACAGAATTGAGCTCATCCAACACAGACAACTAAATAGGCAAGGCCATAGGTAGAAAAGCTTCATTCAACTCACCTCATCTCTTCCACAGACATACATGGAAATTAAACGATGACAAAGAACTGGTTGCTAAATAGGAAACTTTTTTAAGTCATGATAAATTACGCAGATTGTTGAAGTATGTGTGAACAATATAACAATATTTTACTACTTCTATTAATTTTAATATCAGCTTGTATGAAATCATATAAAGATTTCAAAAAGTACAAATTATTGATATAGTAGTACTCTCATGCATCACATGCTCAAATCTTCTCACAGTCAACTAAATGATTACTCAGAAAACAAGAAAAAAAAAACAATAAGGACACTTGAGCAACTGCATAAAATAGATGTCATAAAAAAAACTATGATTGCCAGCCACGTCAATACTCAAAGATCATATGGTCTATTTTGATTTTGAGAGTAGAATAATATAAAGTTACCGTGAGAATTAAAAATATTAAGCAATATAATTTCCTAATACCAATCTACTCTTATGCTATTCCATCTCCATGGGTTACCTCTGAATGACTGTCTGTATGTACATGTTTCTCACATCGCATGCCCCGAAAAAACAAATCCCCCCCAGAAAATTGCCTACCCAAGCAAACATTCAACGTTACTTCTGAGTCATCCACATGGAAACCTACAAATGTAAGACTATTTGTTAGACTTCATTGCTTACAACATAGTTAAACGATAAGGCAAGTTCAACATCAGGAACACACGTACTGGATAGTGTAGGAATCCTAAATCATGGAAACATTTGTTTGCCAATAATGAAGGTTTTATGCCCCTTATTGAAGCACAGGTTGAAATTATAACAGTTGCATAAAATAAAGTTGTCAAAATTGTTAGCAACCAAAAAACTATGTAGCAGTTATTACACATTGTTGTTGCAAGGATCACATGAAAATATCCTAACCTTCTTTAGCATGAATGTCCAATATCATGCACATGGCCTGTTGAATGATAAAATTTCGTTTTCCTTATAGGTGGCATTGCCTTTTTAAATATGAGAGACACGGTGATAATAAAACCAGAGTGCCTATAACTAGTACAAGGAAACTTGAGGCAATGCATGCCACATTCTAAGACATGCTAGAATATGCTTGCAATATAAGATACATCCACATCAAAGATAAAGAAATTCAAAAGCATATCTCTTACCCAAGTCAGCATCTCTATCTTTACCATATTCAACTATAAACCCATGATGAGAATCCAGGGTTGATCCACCAACTTCTGCAAAGAACACTGTATAATGAAGAATTAATTAGCTAACATACATCTCAACAGAATGAAAAACTTATTAGGCTGGCTAATCTCGCAGACTTCATTCACCTTTAGACAACGGACAAATGAAATTTTCCATAAGCTTGTCAAGCATAGTTTGAAGGCCAAAGTCATCAAGTACAACACCATATTTATTCATTGTATTGGGACGCATAACTTGGAATTTTGCTTCGTTAACCCACTTCTCAAAATTTTCAACCTAGGTAGACCAAAATTAAATTTCAACATTGACAAAATATAAGTGTATGAATAGGCATCAACTTGCAATTCTAACTTAAAGGAATAATGAGATATTGTTCATACCCCAACTAAAGATAGTTAGAATGATAAAATACCTCAGATAACAATAACTCACAAAAGTGTGGCTGAAGCATTTCAAATGTAAAAATGCCTGGAGCGGGCTCAGACATTATACTCCTAAAGCTTTGATCCGTATTATCACTAATTGCTTTCAGAAACATTGGGACAAAGAATGTTGTAGGATCAATAGTGTACAACTGTCGATGCAGAGGCTGCAAAATTTTGATAGAAAACCTGTAAGTCTTGCTAAAAAGGACCATAAAAGAGAAGGATGAGATGTGCGGAAGATTGTCATTATACTTAACCACACCTGAAATTTGAGCATAAATTATAAATCCTAGGTTCCTGCTGTTTTGAATGTAATAGTAGCACATTTTGTAGCAACTTCATAGATGTCAAAACATAATAAACTAAGGGTTTGATGTTTCTCATATTGGATACACACGTATAAAAGTATGTGGAGCCCATGTGGGGGCATGTGAAAAGAAGAAAGAGAAAACAAAAACATGGGTCTCATACACTTTTACGTGTGTGTAGGAGATGATTTTATTTCCTACAACATGAGAAACATTAATCTCATAAACTAAATAAGAACCAAGTGCCCAAGAAAATTGTGTAATTTGAATTATATTACTATCTAGCAGAGAGAGTGAGAAAAGAAAATCAATGGAATGTGCAATGTACTATGAATTGCTATACTTCTCATGGCAAGTATAGAGCATTAATCTTAATTCTGAGGGGGGGAAATCTCCTACACTTCAGATAAACAAGATATTTTCATAATGTTTTCACATCATTAGAGTTTATATTTTATATGTACTCAATATTTGCCCAAACTAAATGTTATCTAAATTGGGAAGTAGGATTCGTTATTAGATCAAGCCATTCAGATTTCTTTAACCTATTTGATTTAAGAATTTACTAGTCTGACATTCTTTCCCTAAAACTGTTCTCTCAGGTTCTACATTAATATCAGGCCAACAAAGTCTAAAAAAAGAAAGAAAAAAAAAGAATAGGCCAACCGTTAACATTTGGATGCTGCTTACCTGATAATTTGATATTATCCTCTGTCTGTATTTTCTTTGCTTTTGATCCTGCCAAATAACAGTGGAACCACCATAAAGGATGTCGTATAATAACAATGAGAACCATAACAAGAATAATAATAAAGACAATAAACAGCAAACTTATAATGATCATGATGAAAAAAAAAAGTTTATTTTACAATTTAACAATATAAATTAAAAAATTGTCCAAGGCAATTCCACCTTCTAGTTCATAACAAAGAAACAAAAGTTACCATAGAACTAAATGCAGGAATAATATTATTAAAACATCTGATTCTCAGTGAGTTGCTATTCCTCCACAGCATACTAATTTTACAACTTTCATAACTCTCCTTTCTTTGTCTCATGACATCTAAGAGTACCTAAACTATACATTGGAAACTTGGAAGAGTTTGAAACTAATGATACCATGTACAACCCTTTAACAGGACAGAGACCATCAAGTGCGACCATGTTATAAACCACACAATCTGAAGTTGATGTCTAGAGGAAAAAGATAATAATCCACCATACACCTCAACACATCTCATCATGCTCTACCGAAGAATAGCTCAAATATCTAACCCCTGACACTTCCTTTCTTAAATTATTCTTAACACATACGAGTTATAATTATTTCTCACAAGCATAAAGGAACAACAATCGACTGAACAAAATACAGAATGTGAATTAATAAAAAAACCTGTACTAAAATTATGAGTAAGTTACAATTCATTTCCAGCATAAATCAACAACATTGTTCCATTTATGTAATTCAACAACTATGAGACCTATTGTCAAAATCAGACAGGACCAGTTGGTCCTAAAGGCTTAACCATGCGGTTTGGTATTAACAGTGTTGCTTGAGACACAAGGTATGCAATTTCAGCACCAATGAACACACAACTTTCTCCATCATATAGTTTAATTTACTTCCATTTTCCACCAAGAGAAAAAATTTCAAGAAATTCAAAATATAACAATACCAACTAGTAAGAAAGAGGAAGGGGAAAAATCATAGTCATACTCTGTTCCGCACTCCGGGTGGGAGATAATCGAGCAAAATCTCGTTCATGTACTTAACCTTCTCGTCGCGAGAAGCGTTGAGCATTTTCGTTGGTAGGTGCCTCTCCAGCGAGCTGAAAAACGAAGAACAGAAATCCAATTTCAAGTCCTCGTACGCTTCCGGCTCGTGATCCTTCTTCGGGTTCAGCATCAGCCTAACCCTCTGGCTCGATTCCGTCCTCCCATTGCCGGAGTCCCCAGCCACGACGTCGTTCCCGCTGCCATGAACTGCATTCCCTGTTGCCGGCGACGCCTCCTTCCGGCGGCCAGTCGAGCTGCCACGGGGCGACATGTGTCCAGCCCTGCCCCTGCATTGGATGAATTAACGTTTTCTCATAGCATCAAGGGTCCAAATGGAAATTCAGTATTTTCAAGGGAAATTAGGGTTTTCAAATTGGTTTAACCTCTTACTGTTCTTACGGAGTGTTGTTCAGCTTGTTTTATTATAAATAAAAATTAAAAAAAAATGTGAATTAATAGGTCTTACCTTTTTCTTTTTCTTTTAAAGAGAATAGGTCTTACCTTTGTGAGGAGATGATTTTGTGTGGTCCGGGAGCAAGAAAAATTGGGTGGGGCGGAGGCGAAAGAAAGCGAGAAAGGATTGAGGTGAGAAAAGAAAAATTGGGTGGGGAGTAGACGAAAGAAAGCGAGAAAAGATTGAGGTGAGAAAAAGAAAAATTGGGTGGGGCGGAGGCGAAAGAAAGCGAGAAAATATTGAGGAGAGAGAAAAAGCAAAAATTGGTTCTCGTGTCAATTTATCAGTGGAAGGACCATCTTGTACCACATTAAAAAGTTCCGTTTGTAAGTGTCTTAATTGCTTTGGATTAGGTTTGGCAAGAGGTGAGTAAATTTTGAGTAGTGTTTTTTTATAGTATCAATACATAGTTTAAAGTTATATAATCCTCAATTTTGCATTAGATACACCTGAATAATGTGGATATTTCTAGAAGAGTATAATTAGGGGTGTTCATCAATCTAAATTGATTCAAACCGCGATGACCGAACCAAAAACAGATAAATGAATAAATCGAAAATTGAAAAAAAAGGTAAATTTTAATTGGATTGGATCGGTTTTCAGATGGGTTGATGAAAACCGATCCAATCCAAATCGATCCAATATATTAATTTTTCTCTATCTACTTAAGTCTTTTCTTAATCATAGCCCAAAAATTTCTAAATCTAAGACTTATTAACCCATCAACTAAACCCAAGAAAAAACCTAGTCACATCTTATCAACAAAATTTGATCTGTTTAGAGTTTCATATCTCATTGTCCCCCAAAAAAATTATATTATCATTTAATGATGTTTTTGCATTTAAAAAAAAAAAAGTTTACAAAGCCAATATATACAAAAAATGTTATTTGCACAATAATCATGAAATAAATTTTAGGATTTTCAAAAAATCGAAAATTGATCAAATTCAAACCGAAAAAAATTGGATCGGATCGAATCGGATTTGAAAAAAATTCAAATCGAATGGATGATAACATGATCAAACCGAAGGAATTGGATCAGATGATTTTTGCTTCCAAAATTGATTCAATTCAGACCGCGAACACCCTAAGTAAAATTATATAACCCCAATTTTTGTACCAGAGACATGAGAGTAATGTGAATCTTTCTCAGGAAGATTTACAAAGTAATATTGAAAGGTGTCGTTTGGTTTCAGGATTATTTATAAACGTATGGGAAAGTGAGCTTCGATAAATTGGCTTGCCACGTTTAGTAGCTAAAAATCCAAAATTATTCCGGGTAAGTGTGCATTCAAATACCAATCAAAAAATACCACAAATTTGTTGGAATTCTTCCTTTTTCGGGAAAAAGGAAAATAAATTGCGAATCATCTTACCAAAATAACCCTAATAAATCTCCCGTGTCATTGTAAAGTGAGGTTTGTGAAGAAACTAGATCTAAGAAATAGAACCACGACAGAAGCTCATTCATCACTCTCAAATAATCCTCTGCTTTCTGTGAAACAAAGTCGAAGCTTGCTTTGCTTTATTTGGTTCACCAACTAATCGTTGAGGATGAGCATGGAGACATCACACTTGATTAAAATGGGTTTCTGAGTTTTATTAACAAGATCCCCATTTTCAATTATATTTGTTATATTTAGTTTGGATTGTTGAAGTGCTTGTGGGGATTGCTCCAATGGTTATGTGATTGATGGTCCTGGTATATGCATGCAGAATGAGATACTCTTCTGCTTTAGGCCATGGAGATGAGATTCAGAGAGAAAGTTGAGGGGAAATGAATGGAACCAAATAACTTTTTTGTAACATTCCCATGGAAAAAAAATTCCTACCATATTATCGGAAATCTTGATTATCTGATAAAAAAAAATTATGGTCTACCAAACACTACATAACCCTAATGTTGTATTAAATACACGAGAGTAGCGTGAATCTTTCATAGCTAGATCCACGAGAAAAATACTAAACAAATCGAGTTAAATAACCATCGTTTTGCACTAAATAAATGAGAGTAACATGAATCTTTATTAGATCGATTCAAATTAGTTCTAATCTAATTACATACGAGTAGCATAGATGGATTCATTTCACCAAAAAAAAAGCATAGATGGATTCAAATGAGATATTTCTTGTTTGGAATAGAATTTTTTTAAACTAAACATATAATGCAAAATTAAATATTTTTATAGAATTTATAATAATTTAAGAAGTTGGTATACTAATTGTTTTTAATTCAACAATTATATGTTTAGAACCTTTTATCATTAAGCAAACTCATTTCTTAGTTGATTATATGTTAGGATAACAAGTAACGAGAGGAAGTATAAGTGCATGACACTATTCACTTATAACTATAACCTATGAAGCACCGACACTTTAAAGGCCTTGACGTGTCGTGTCCGACACTTTCCGACACTCCAACACGCATTGTAGAAATTCAAAAAATGGTTCAAAGGTTGCATTGCGTTGCATTTTTAGTTCCAACTAATAGATTCGTTAGATTACGATTATAATTTTATTGAGTTTAATATAAATATTTGGGATATCTTATGTTTCTTAGCAAAATTGATGGGTATTATAAGTTTAACTTCATTTTTTGTTAAATTATTGAATATTAAATATAATATACGCTACATAAATAAAAATTATTATTTAATATCACAACGTGTCGAAATCTAACAGTTTTTAGAATTAACGTGTCGGAGTGTCGTATCGTGTCCCGTGTCAGTATCGGTGCTACATAGACTATAACTCTATAAGATATATGCAATGCGACTGTAAGTGAAACACATCCAATAAAATCTCAATTTATCTTTCCAATCACTTGTTGTTAGATATCCTATAAGTCAGCTTGTGATCTTTAGTGCTTTGTAGAGATATCAAAACTTTTTTTACAGCACTATGATTACTCTATTTTACTAACATTTTAATTGTAAAGCTAATACATGGTCTCATGTAGGGGTGTAAATAGGCCAGACTGGACTGACCTGGCCTACAACTCGACCTACGTGGAGCCTGGCCTAGCCCGTCCTACATTGAAAAAATAGAGTAGGCTTAGGCTAATAAGAAAGCTTTTTAACAAGTAGGCCAATTTTATCAAGCCTGACCTAAAGCCTTGTAGGCTGGTCTATTTAATTTTTTAAAATAAAATAAAATAATATATTTATTTTAGGTGGCAATTAGTACTAGTGCATGCATGAATGAAACTTTGCTCAGTATATTTTGGATTAGTTTTTCTTTTACTAATGTAAAATTTTTAATGCTCACTAGTGAAATTTATATCTCGTGTAAAAAAAATGTAAAAATTTATGAGCACGTTAATAACTTGTAATGTCAAGCGAATATTTTAAAAATTGTTAAAAATATTTTTAATTTTTTTTAAAAATATTTAAAAATATATCACTAGGGAAGCCTACAAGGCCTGTAGGCCATACAAGGCTCTCTAATTTTTAAAAATAGGCCAGGTTTGACCTATAAATATAGCCTTTAGTAGGCCAATAAGCTAGATAGGCTGAATATTTTTTTACATAGGCTTAGGCCAGGAAGGCTAAAGCCCAGCCCAGCTTGGCCCATTTACAACTCTCGTACAAATTAGAGCATACATTAAGCTTTCAACAAATGATGCATATGGAATCAGTTCCATTTATTTCCCTTTCAAATCATTTTTACGACAATGCATGAAATTAAATTTGTCTTCTTTCTAAATTGAAACTCGAGACAAAAAGAAATTTTTCATTTGAATCTCTCTAAAAGTTTATTAATTAATATATATTTTTGTTTACCAAAATATATATATATATATATATATGAGTAAATACCCTTTTTGGTCCCTGGCAATATCCACAAAGCCCTTATTGGTCCCTGACACGAGCTGTCGAACTCGCGCAAATTAATTAAATCAGGTTTATTAGAATTTTGTAGTAAAGCGTCTACCTGAGTCGTCTCTCAAGAAGTTTGCAATGAACTTAATCGCTCAGTTATAAAAATAAATAAAAAATAAAAATAAAATGGAAACCAAATGAAAATGGAAACTAAATGAAAAGAGAAAATAAGGAGAAACGAAAATTAAAGAAAAACGGAAATTAAAATGAGGGGGTTTAATATGATTGTAAATTTAAACGGAAATGAAAAATAAAATAAAAAGAAAAAATAATCAAATTAAAAGCAACCAACCCAAGAATTAGGATTCCAAGGATATCCATCATTGGACAAATAATTACCAAATCGTGATTGATCTCAATTGAATCAGAATCCTTATTTCCAATTGAGAATCCTCTCTAAGCGATCGTTTAGCGTTTGGTCGAATACGGCGTGTTAACTCGCGCAATCGCGGAGTATCAACCCGTTCGACTTGAGTTCATTGGGTTAATCAACCTAACCATTAAATCTAATGGTTAATCTCTTTCCTAAGAACGCAATCGCGTATCTCAGATTGAATACTCACAATCGCGCGATGCCAAACCGAGTTGGAAAGAGAAACGAATTTGGTTCAAAATGAGGCGCAGGTCCTCAAGATTCAACCATGGAATCCTTAACCCTTGGGTTGATTAAAGAAAAGATGAGAGAAAAAAGATAAAAATTATATTAATTTCAAAACTGTAAAATTCAAACTCAAACGAAAGATTGTCCACAAGGTTCGTACTCTCGCCTTTTTAACCCCTAATCAAGTTGGGCTTCAGGCTCTACAAATCCAACCCAAAATAAAAGGAAAAAACAGAAATAATGGCTCTGGGTCTCATGTACATTGGGTTCAAAATTATAACTTAAGTCCAAACGTCGAAATAAATTTCCAACAAAACACGTCCATCTTGGGCTCCGGTTTCGACCATCTTCCCATTCGAATTGGGCTTCAGTTGATGAAATAATTGCAACCCTTTTTGTTAGCTACAAAAAGAAATAAGAACGGAGTCAATCGGACATCTGTAGAGTGAGATATGGTCAAAATACGAAAGAAGTGTAAATTTAGAAAATTATGACGAAAATCAATTAAACCCAATTAAAATCTAGAATTATGATTTGACCCAAAAGACCTTTATTTAATTCAAATAAATCCTAAAAATATCAACC